GCGTCCGAAATGTGTGAGCGTAGCAGCCGTCACAGTGGGGCCCAGTGTGGGTCAGCCTTGAAAGTGATTGGCCAGACCGGATTGAGGTAGGCAGGCACTAGTGCTTGCGCACCTGCTAGCTGCCGCGAGAGGCAAGCGTTCGCGCGGGGAGCAGATACATGAAACGAAGCTAAAAAATGGTCTCGAAATGTCGGTCACCTGAAGGAGATCATATACAATTAAACAGTTGCCACTTCTAAGTCGTATTCGTAATCCTTAACCAAACTTTATCATTAACGCTAACCTTTACCAAATCTTTAGCTCTGGCCACAGCGTACATCTCAACTCCAACCATTTCTTAGCAAATCAATGGAAAGCACAGACTAACTTTCCTAATTCGTCTAAACCTTTTGCGATACCCACTGAAAATCCACCTTGCCTGCAGCAGCCATGACGCACGTCCTTATGACATGCAAATACCAGGTTCAAATTCTTGTGTCATTCTTGCGCGTAACATCATTAGCTTAGTTATCATGACGTATAAATTAGACTTCAATTCGACTACGTGCCTACTTCTTTGGTTTTCTCTGCAGTCTGTCATCTTGACATTGTAAAATAGTCATATGATTAATTAGTGAAGCCTATAGACCACGAAAACTGTTATAGCAACTCATTTTATCATTAGACGGCCTATTGGCTAATAAGGGAAGCCTATAGGCCACGAAAACTATCAGAGCGACTCTTTTAACCATTAAATGTCCTCAATAGGTAGCCCTACCGTGTTAGGCATCTGAGGTTTGGACTATGACCATTCGAATTTGCCCTGGGTAGGGAAGTCGGTGGCAGGAGAAGGAAGCTAGGGACAACGGCGTGCTGTATGCACGGTAGCTGCCATTCAAACTGTTTAAGGGGCTATTGGTTGCATTGAATTTCGTTCAATTTGGGCTGGGATAAACGGTAACTTTGATTACCGCAGTTAGAGTTTGGGTTAAGGCTGGGAGGTAGTCTTAGGGTTAGAGTTAACGTTGAAATTTGAGCTATCTTAATGGTTAGGGTTGGTTTTAGGTTTAGGATAACTTTTACTGTAAAAACGTCAAGTTGCGTTTGTTCTGTTTATTCCCACTTTTAACTCTGTCCACATTAAGCGCCTTTATGGGTGCTATGGATACTCATTAGACTATGGCCACGGACAACGATCGTATGCTGATAACAGAGAAGGAATTTGGCGACGCATATATGTATATATTCTAAGAAATACATCCTGCTTTAAAAGGTTTGGCACGAACTGCGGAGCCAGTGACTCTTGTCAAATCGAGGTACTATTCCTTCTTCAACTTCCTCTTTTTATACCATCTCCATAGGTGGTTTTATTGAACAAGTAGTTTAGATATCGAAAAGTAGCATTACTTTTTTGCGGTGATAACCATAAGACACATTCTTCAGCTTGCTTAAATAGTTGCTTTATTTCCTTCTGTTTTTTTTTCAAGGGCGAAGCTGAAGAAGCTCTGGCAGAGGCCATGCCAGCCCTGGAAGCGGCCAAACGGGCCCTCGACGAGCTGGACAAGAATGATGTCACTGAAATTCGAGCCTTCGCAACGCCCCCAAAACCGGTAAATGCTCTTGAGAAATCTTTTTTTCGCCATCTCCTCGTAGACGCGTCCATCGACTGAATTAAGTCCAGAAAGCCCAACGCTGGCTTAATATTAAAGCTAAGATGTTATAATTTCCCATGGAAGTCGTAAGGCTTCCGGCTAATAAAAGTGTCCTAAGAACATAATTTGTGTTTGTCTAGTCGAAGTACTTAATGTCAGCGCATTTCCCTTCAAGTGAAAGAAGTTTCCCTCTATTTGAAGAGTTCATTTATTTAGTATCTATTACTAGAACGACATTCTAACCAGAAAATCCAAAGTCAATTTGGAGAAGCACAAGAGTCGTTCATTTGCATTGTTTTAAAGTTACGAAAATTTCCCCATCAGAGAATTCAGAAGAGCAGTTGACAAACATGCGTAGGCTTTCGATAAATTCTCATCGGACCATTATATGTGAACGGGATAAAAGTTAAATCAGCTATCAGTAATATTCGTCTTATCACAGAAGTTAGTCGTGGGGATAGGGGAGGGGGGATTGGGGGTCGATAAGAGGCGGTGGTTACGCGGCAGTGAGGATTTGTTGGAGGCGGACCAGCCAATCGGTCTTGCATGGGAAGAGTAAGGATAGGTTACCAGCTCTGACCACCTCCATGTGCATCTACTCATTTACCTGCTCCTGTGTGGCAGATTACATTGGTCGCACGAGTCAACGCCTATCCAAAAGAATAAAGGAACATCTCCCTGCATGGCTGAAAAAGATTAGGTCAGGAGCATAAACAGCATTATTCTCGCGCCCATTTTTGATTTCGGACA